TTAAGATCTATTCTCTTAGGAACTTTCAAGTATGCAATACAGTATTATTAACTGTAGTCATCATACTGTACATTACATCCCCATGACCTATTTTTTAACTGGAAGTTTGTACCTTTTGACCCCCTTCACCCATTTCACTTATCCCACCCCTGCCTCTGGCAACCACCAATCTGTTCTCTGTATCTATATATAAGCTCAGGTTTGTTTGTTTGTTTTTTGATTTTTTAGTTAATTGAATCTTTTATTAATATATAGTATCCTTATTTGTCTCTTGTAAACTTTTTGGATATCTAATAAACGAATGGTATCCAAAATATGTTTTAAAGTACTAAAGATCAACAACAGTAAAATAACTCAACTTTAAAAATTGGCAAAAGATCTGGAGAGATACCTCACCAAAAAAAATATTCTGATAGCAAATAAGCATACAAAAAGATGTTCAACATCATATATCTTTAGGGAACTGCAAATTAAAACAACAACGAGATAACACTACATACGTATTAGGATGGCTAAATTCAGAAGCCCTGACAATACCAAATGCTGACAAAGATGTAGAAAAATTGGAACTCTCATTCATTAATGGTGAGAATACAAAATGGTACAATGGTACAGGTGCTTTAGAAGACATTTTGGCAGTATGTTACAAAACTAAACATATTCATAACATGATCCAGAAATCACAAGCCCATTTGGTATTTACCCATATGAGTTGAAAATTTATGTCCACACAGAAATCTACACATGAATGTTTATAACAGTTTTATTCATGATTGCCAAAATGTAGAGGCAACCATGATGTCCTACAATAGGTGAATGGATAAATAGTGGTATATCCATACAATTGGATATTTTCAGTGATAAAAATAAATGACAAAAAGACAGGAGGAAGTTTAAATGCATGTTGCTTAGTGAAAGAAGCCAATCCGAAAAGGCCATCTATACAACATTCTGAAAAAGATCAGTGGTTGCCAGTCCTTTGGGGACGTTGGGAGGGAGGGATGAATGAGTGGGGTACAGGGGATTTTGGGGGATATGAAACTATTCTCCATGATACCGTAATGGTAGATAGATGAAGTTTTACATTTGTCAAAGCCATAGGATGCATAACACAAAGAGTGAACCAGAATGTAAGCTATGGACTTAAGTTAATAATGATGTATTGTTATTGACTCATCACTTATAAGTAATGTACCACCTGATGCAGGATGCTTATAATAGGGGAAACTAAGGGAGGTATATGGGAACTCTCTGTACTTCACACTCATTTTTTTGTAAACCTAAAGCTGTTTGAAAAAAAAAATATATTAATTCAACAAAGAGTATGGACTTTAAATCACAATGCTCATGTTCAAATTCCAGCTGTATTATTACAAGCTGATTGACCTTGAGCAAGCTACTGAACTTTCTTGTGTCACAGTTGCGTTTCTTTAAAATGAGGATAATAGTAGGACTAATTTCAAAGGTATGTTTTGGAAAAATTTGTCAATTTTTGTAAATCCCTAGAACAATGCCTGACATACAGTAAGTCCTACATAAGCATGAACTACACTCATTTAATCCTCAAAACTACTAGCACCATTTTACAAATGAGATAAGTAACATGTTCAAGGCTAAGTTAGCCATAGGAGAACAAGAATTTGAATCCTCATTCTGTCAGAAGCCTGTGTTCTTTCCACTAGATACCCTGTCTTTCCACAATGTGTTTGTGAGCATATACCAAGCTCCTGTGAAAACTAAGAAAGCCATGTTTATAGTAGGACCTGAAATTTAACCTATAACTTAAGTGACTGTCATATTTCAAAATAAAGGAATTGAAAATGATAAGATAGTAGTGACATCAGCAAGATGGCAGAGTAGAAGATCCACCAATTGTATCCCTCTTCAGCACAGTCATTTGGAAGCCATCCAAGGACAAAAGTGCCATTGTGGGAGCTTTGCGATCCAGGTAGGAGTCCATGAAACCTTGGTGGAGTCCAAAACCGAGGAGGGCCATTTTGAAAAGGCAGGCTCATGCTCAGATGACGGACTTGCCAAATGTGGTCCTGGCTACAACCAGGAAACAGCCCCGTGGACCGTTACAGTCCCATTTGACTTTGGTCCTGCCATCAGCACTATCTGCCAAGGAACCTGTCAGGAGTCATGCCTGTCCATGCCCTGTATAACAGGCCCACAGAATTCAGTCCCATGTGTGGACCCTGAAGTGGCCCATGACCCAGCTTCAGCCCCTCTTAGCCATGATTTCTACCCATTTGGGGACCAGGTGGAAGACACACCTGTCTGCGCCCCTGTGACAGGCCCTCCAACTTTGTTCCAACTGCAGATCCTGAAATGACCCTGTAACGTAGCTCCAGCTACTCTCAGCCATGGTCTGGGAACACTCCTACCGTGAGACAAGCTTGTCCATGCCCCAGAGGTAGGCCCACTGACTATGTTCTGTCTGTACATCTGGAAGCATTCCTATAATCCGGCTCCAGCCCCTCACAGCTGCAGTCTGGGAGCAGTTCTGCCTGCCCAGGGACCTAGTGTCTTAACCACTGATATCTGTTAAAGTGATCCTATTTAGAATAGGGTCTTTGCAGATATAATCAAATTAAGATGAGGTCATGCTGAATTAGGGTGGGCCCTGAACCAATATGACTGTTGTCCTTATAAGAAGAGGAAAATAGACATGGATAGATATGGGAGAAAACACCATGCAAAGGTGAAGGAAGAGACTGGAGTGATACGTCTACAAGCCAAGGAATGCCAAGGATTGCTGGCAAACAGCAGAAACTAGGAGAGGGGCATGGAACAGATCTCCCTCAGAATTTCCAGAAGGAACCAACTCTGCTGGCACCTGGATTTCAAACATCTAGCCTCCAGAACTGTGAGAAAATAAATTTCTGTCCAAATGCCAACTCATATTTGTATATATCTTTTAAACACACACACACACAAATACACACACACACAGTCCCACACACACACAATGGGCCATATGAGACATAAAACTCTGTAAGTGGCTGCTTTCACTCAAATTATCATGGATGTATTTTCAGTGCGGTTTTCATAGGTTTTTCTTTTGACTAGATGAACAATAATCCAAATAAATGTTTATCTGAATTCATGTAACTAGTCATGCATAGGTGGAAATCAAGTTCCTCTTTTTTTTTTTTTTTTTTTAATTACCGATAATATTGCAACAGCATCTTTGTAAATAACTCTGCTAGTTTACCTATGGGGTAAGATTTAAGATATAAGGTATTTATAGCATAAAAAAACAGAACTGACATGTCAAAGGAGATGTGCAACAACTTGGTGGATGTTGAAAAATTACCCCCCAAAATATGTAGTACCAATTTTTACTCTTGCCAGCAGTATCTGAGATGGGGGTTGTTACTGAGCACTCTCATCAAAAATTAATGTTATCAAAAGTGTTAAAAGTTATCAATTTGAAAGAGCAATACATTTTTTTCTTTTAATTCCTGGGCTTTTTTGGGGGGGATAAGATTTTTGAATCTATATTCCTATGTGTTATCTCTATTAAATTTTGGTATGTGTTATTTTAGCTTTAAACATTGAACTGTGGGACTTCTCTGGCAGTCCAGTGGTTAAGACCTTGCCTTCCAATGCAGGGGGTGAGGGTTCAATTCCTGGTCGGGAAGCTAAAATCCCACATGCCTCGTGGCCAGAAAACCGAAACATAAAACAGAAGCAATATTGTAACAAATTCAATAAAGACTTTAAAAACGGCCCACATCAAAAAAATCTTTAAAAACGAAAAAAAACTGAACTGTAACTTTATCTCCTATTTGTCTTTATCTTTAATTATCTCTAAAAATTTAAATATCATGACAGTATTTTATTCTTTGACAATTTGAAAGTCATTGATTAAACCTGCTTAGATCGGTGCCAAGATATCACTTTGAGTTTTTTTTAATGTATATATTTTATGCCTTGAATCATTTTTGTGATTTATGTTGGGTATTTCATCCTGATGTTAGTACTAAGCCTAACATGGTATTATGCAGTGTGTGCGTGTGTGCGTGTGTGTGTGTGTGTGTGTGTGTACACAAAAACATATAAAAATACATAGATTTACACATACACATTCGATGGAGAGAAGGCTTTTTGGAAGTTGGGTGTTATTACAGCATGTTTCAGAGGGAGAATTGAAGATGCAGAAGGGAGTGGGGAATGTTACAGTAGCCAGATCCTTGGGTAGACTAGAGTTGATGGGATCTAGTGCACAGGTCCAAGGGCTGGTCCCAGGTAAAAGTGTATCAATCATTCTTACAAGAGGAAAGCCAGAGGATGAGGTCACCATTGTGGAAGAATTGTTCAATGTGGTGGTGGGACTGTGAAGGAATTCTTTCTTGGAAGTGTCCAGTTTCTTAGTGAAATAGAAACAAGATAATCAGCTAGGAATGAGGAGGGAGAAGGAAGTATTGGAAATTGAAGGGGAAAGAAGATTTGAACCATCCTCTAAACATGGATAGTAAGACTGTGAATATAGCAAGCTGTTATTGAGATATCAGGGCCAATTTCTGAATTATTTCCATATGTATGTTAGCTTCAATTTAAGAGTTAATACCAATCTTTTATAAGTCAATTTTAGTATAACAAAAATTCCAGATAAAGAGTGCCGATTTTTGACACTAACAGTTTTTTGTAACAAAATTTAGTATTTTACATATTAAATGTTTAAAGGAAAGTTCATGCTTAGAATATTGTATTAAACAAAGTATTTTAATGAGGTAATAAATGAGTGTTAAAAATGACTTAAGAAGAAAATATGTAAGAATACTCACCCAAGACCAGTACGTTTTCTGAAAGCTGTTACAGTTCTATTATTTCCTGCATTTTCTTAATTACTATGAGAAAGCAGTTTAAAAATTACCATTTTAATGGACATTTAAAAATATTTCCTTGAACTTTCCATTAAGTTGTTCTGTTTAATTGTTAGTTTAGAAAACGAAACACTGGTTAATCTGACATCTTGCACCTATGTGTTGTAGGTACAATTTCGTTTTCCGTTAAAAGCAGGAAAAATGGTGATTCTCAGGAAGACTCAAATGAAGATAAAGATAGAGATCTAATACCCTCCTTTGAGAAGTCATTATCAGAACCATCTGACAAGTTTGATGAGGAAAAACCAGGTAAATTTATTATTATGGAGAGTTTTATGATCAATTTTCATAAACCCTCATCATTTACTTATAAATCAATAGATACTTTACTTTCATAATACGTATACAAATGTGTATTTCATATATCATCCATAAGAATTGTATTATTTCAGGATTAACTTGATGTAGTTTACTTTCTGGATTTGTACTGCTATTAAAATTAGTAGATTATAATACTTCAGCTTGAAGGCTGCCTAATCTTTCATAAGTGAAAAACTTTACAAATATTTCTGTTACTAAACAAAAAATTTCAGTCAATTTCTAATAAAATGTTAATAAGTATATTATTTTAACAATGTAATATGTTCTCCTTTTTTAAATATAGGAGATGATAGCAGTCTCCCTCATATGCAAAAGAAAGCAAATGCTATTATTTCCCTTTCCCTTATAAAGCTTTATTTGAATGTTGTTAAACATCATATCGTTTCAGTAGAAATTCAAAGTAAAATGAGAGTATGGAGAGTTGGAATAGACAGGGCAGATTTCTTAGAGAGTGGGTAAATGAGTTCTCTTATGGGTGAGTAGCAGGGATGGAAGAGGGCAATAGAGAAGAGTGGGTCAACAGGGGCAAAGTTCTAGAAACAGAGGTGTACCAAAGAAGAAATCTTTATTGAATGAATTTCTGTTTAATCAGGATTCTTCAGAGAAACAGATACCACTATAATATAATATAATATAATATAATATAATATAATATAATATAATATAACATAATGTAATACAACACAATATAATGCAATACAATATAATATGGTACAATATAATACAATAACCTATATCTGTAGAGAGACATTTTAAGGAATTGGCTAACATAACTATGGAGACTGGCAAGTCCAAAATCTGTAGGGCAAGCGAGCAGGGTAGACAATTAGGTAAGAGTTGCTGTTGCAGTCATGGGTCCAGATTCCCCAGGGCAGACTGGGCAGGCTACAAGCTCAAGCAGGGTTTCCATGTTTCAGGCTTGGCTAAGAATTGCTTCTCCTTCAGGTCACTTCAGTCTTTGCTCTTAGGGCCTCCAACTGACTGGAGTTGGCCCATTCACATTAAGCAGAGTATTCTGCTTTACTCAAAGTCTACCAATTAAAGTATTCACATATTTTTTTAAAAAAATACCTTCCCAGCAACATTTAGATTGGTGTGTAATCAAACAACTGGACACCATCGTCCAGCCAAGTTGACACATAAAATGTACCATCACAGAATACGTGGATTAAGAGTGATATTTAGGCACTATTCAAAATAGTTTGGGAAGGGAAGAGCAGTTGGGGCAAAAGCTAGGCCACTGCAACAGCTAACTGGGTTTGAAGTGAAGAGGAGAATGTCTTTTAGGGTGGTGATGGGGATAGAGAAATACCATGAAAGATGGAAAACATTTCAGAGACTAGCATTAGATGACTCTCTTGAGAGAGAAGACAGGAAGTGAGAATTGATTCCAAAGAATAACAAGTTTTCTTTGTATCTTGGGGATCTTATCTAAGGGGCACACAAGGGGAAGGCACGAGAGGCAGGGGAGAGTGCTTCTCAAAGACTACTGATTAAAGTGTTCTTTGCAGGGGAGGTTGGGGGAGTCATGTTAGAAATTACATCTACTTGTGACTGTGTGGGCTGTTAAAATTTTTTTAAATTAAGTTTCAATTATTCAACGTAATAAATCATATAAGAAACATTCTTATATTAAAATGTTTGTGCATATCATCGATTATTTTATTCCAACAAATTTCTTAGAATGAAATCATTGGCTCGAAGGGGATAAGCAATTCTTAAACATTTTAAACATGTTAAAGCGCTCTTCAAATTTCCATTATAATGTATAATATTATCTCTTTCAACCTGACCCTCATTAAAGCTGGGTGTTACCATTATTTTTCATATTTCCCTATTTGGAAGATTAGAAAATTCTTATTTAGTTGTTTTCATTTCTTTCTGTCCCAGCGTTACTGAAATACAACTGAGTATTAAAAATTGTACATATTTCAGGTGGACAGCTTGATTAGATATACGTATACATTGTGAAATAATCACCACAATCAACCTAATTAACATATTTATCATCTCACATAGTTACCACTTTTTCATGGAAGACGATAAAGACACTTAACGATCTACCTTCTAACTGAATATTGTTAAAATGTCCCTGCTATCCAAAGTGATCTATATTCAATGTAATGACCTATCACAATCCCAATGGCATATTTAAAAATATTTAATTTTTAGAGCAGTTTTAGGTCCACAGCAAAACTGAGAGGAAGGTTCAGAGTTTTCCCATATACATCCTGCCCTAACACATGGATTGTCTCCCCCATCGTTAATATCCCCCAGCAAAGTGATACATGTGTCACAATTAATAAGCCTGTATAGACACATACACACACACACACACACACACACACACACAAGATCTACCTTCTAAGCAAATTTCAAGTATACACTACCACCCTATTAACTATAATTACCTTGCTGTACATTAGATCTCCAGAACTTACTCATTTTGCATAACTGAAATTTCCCTAATTGAAAAGAAATGTACTACGGAGCAATCAGTAAGAAAAAGACCAAAGTATTACAGGGAATGGAAAGGTTAATTCTGTTTGAGTAGGAATATGGGAAGGCCTGTCTGAAGAACTGCGGATACCTGTAGATACATTTTTCCTAGCTCTTACTCTATCTTGCAACCTGTCATCACACAGCTTAGATTTTTTTAAATAAAATGATCAGTGATATGCACAAATATTTTAATATAAGAATTTTTTATATGATTTATTATGTTGAATAATTGAAACTTAATTTTTAAATTTGATTAATTTTTTTTTTTCTTGGCTGCTTTGGGTCTTTGTTGCTGCACGCAGGCTTTCTCTAGTTGCGGCGAGGCGGGGCTACTCTTGGTTGCGGTGCGCGGGCTTCTCATTGTGGTGGCTTCTCTTGTTGCGGAGCACGGGCTCTAGGCACACAGGCTTCAGTCGCTGTGGCACATGGGCTCAGTAGTTGTGGCTCGCAGGCTCTAGAGCACAGGCTCAGTAGTTGTGGCGCACAGGCTTAGTTGCTCCGCGGCATGTAGGATCTTCCCAGGCCAGAGCTCGACCTGTGTCCCCTGCATTGGCAGGCAGATTCTAAAACAATGCGACACCAGGGAAGTCTCGATTTAAAATGTTTTTGAATAGGTATTACCTGCCCATAAATTTTTTTCCATTTTTATTGAAAAATAATTGTCATACATCACTGTATAAGTTTAAGGTGTACAGCTTGATGGTTTGATTTACACATATTGTGAAATGCTTACCATAATGGGTTCCGCTAACGTCCATCTTCTCATATAGATACAATAAAAAGAAAAGAAAGAAAAAAGAAAAAACAATTTTCTACTTATGAAGAGAACTCTTAGAATTTACTCTCTTAACTTTCCTATGTATCATACAGCAGTGTTAACTATAGTCATCATGCTGTACATTACATCCCTAGTACTTATTTATCTTACAACTGAAAGTTTATACCTTTAGACCACCTTCCTTCATTTCCCCCTACCCCTACCCTCTGCCTCTGGTAACCACACGTCTGATCTCTTTTTCTATGAGTTTGGATTTTTTGTTATTGTTTTGTTTGTTTATTTTAGACTACACATATAAATGAGATCATACAGTATTTTTTCTTCTCTATCTGACTTATTTCACTTAGCATAATGCCTTCATAGTCCATCCACGTTGTCACACATGGTAGGATTTCCTTGTTTTTTAATGGCTGAATAAGATTCCATTGAATATACTATAACGTCTTTATCCATTCATTCGTTGATGACACTTAGGTTGTTCCCATGTTTTGGCTATTGTAAATAATGCTGCTTTGAACAGGAAGATACAGATATCTTTTCCAGTTAGTGTTTTCATTTCCTTTGGATATATTCCCAGAAGTGAGATTGCTGGATCGTATGGTAGTTCTATTTTTAATTTTATGAGGATCCTCCAGACTGTTTTGTATAATGGCCATATGAATTTACAGTCCCACCAACAGTGCACAAGGGTTCCCTTTTCTCCACATCCAAGCCAGCGTTTGTTATCTCTTGTCTCTTTGATCATGGCCATTCTAACAAGTGTGATATCTCATTTTGGTTTTAATTTGCATTTCCCTAATGACTAGTAATGAATTTAAATTTAATAGTGAATATTCTCTAAATGATAGAAATGTGTATATACAAATGCACACATATATATGGATCTATTAATTATATATGTGTATATCCCAGTGTATTTATATATGTATATGTCTGTATATCTATGTCTTTATTGATATATTACTCTTGAAATTTTATACAAAAAAATAAGTACTCTTGGTCATGAGATGGTGAATAATTTTTAGTTTCTAAAGTTTTTCAGTAATTTCTTAAATTGCTATAGTGAATACTCCTAATTTTAGAATTAGAAACAAAGTTTTAATATGTTTAAAGCTTGTAGTTAAGCAAAGTTTAATAATTATTATTTTTGTTGTTCATCTCATTAATAAATTATCACTAATCCCACTCTCACCAATAAATTCATATTCATTGTATATTTTTAGCTCTGTAGGAATTAAATTAGCTTCATCACAATACTACCTTATGTGATAGACACAGCAATTACAAATAGGAGGTGTTCTTGTCCCCGTGATTGTTAATTTTATGTGTCACCTTGGGTGGGTCATGGTGCCCAGATATTAGGTTAAACATTATTCTGGATGTTTTTGTAAAGGTGATTTTGTATGAGAATTACATTTAAATCTTTAGACGTTCAAAGAAGGTTGCCCTCCATAATGTGCGTGGGTCTTACCTAACCAGTTGAAGGTCTTAATAGAACAAAGACTGACCTCTGCAGAGCAAAAAGGAATTCTACCCATAGACTGCCTTTGGACTTGAACTCCAACTCTTCCCTGGGTCTCCAACCTGCTGGACTAACCTGCATATTTTGGACTTACTGAGCCAATTATTTGAGCCATGCAATACAATTCAATATATTCAATGTAATTCAACAATTCAGCATAATACAATGCAATGCATTGCAATGCAGTGCAAAACAAAACACTTTTTCAGAAGAGAGAGTCTGAGAACTGCACTGGTTTGGGCCCCTTATTTCATAGATAAGGAAATTAAGGCCCAGAGAGGCTTAGTGATTTACCTAAGTAAGTTAATCAAACATTGCAGTTCTTGGAATCTTTAAAACTTGACAATACTGATATGATATGCAAACAATTAACTGAAACTGAAGGTCATCTTAAACTGTAATCTAGCTCAACATTGGAGAATAAAGAATATCAAAGTGAGAAGCTGAGCAGATGAGAACAAATAGAAAACATGTGGGTTTGATGCCAGTACAAACCCTGCTACACAGGGCTTTTATGGTTGACCAGGGTTCTGGTTTCAGGATTTAAGGGTGTGATTTTGGACATCACTGGCAGCAGAAAGGCCTGTTTTTTTTAAAAAAAAAAGAGTTGGAAAACCCAGATGTAAACATTACTTTCTCACCGCTTAGTCCTGTTAAAAAACAAAATTCAGCTGAGTAAATATGAAGATCTAATTGGCCTGATTCATCAATTCATTAATCAGACGGCATCCCATCTAGCAAATAGAAAGCTACTCCCAGGTTTTATAGAAACGCTGGCGGAGGGGGTGGGGTATGGACAAGGAGGTTATTAGCAGGACAAAAGAAAGGATTGTTTCAGGCAAGTTTACCTCACTAGAGCTGACCAGGAAATTGCAAAAAGTCCATTCCTGGGAGAGGTTGAAACTGAAGTTAAGTCTTGGTTTACTGTCCCAGAGGCAAGTGGCTCCACCTTGGGCCTGTTCTTTCTTTCTTCTTCTTTTTCTTTTCCCCCTCCCCGCCTTCTCCTTTTTTTCCTCTTCCTTCTTTTTTTTTTTTTAACAGTCCATACCCCATTTCAGCTTTTTTTGGGCTAAATTGCTAGGATCCTCTTTCACACTCCCAAAAACCCAGAAATTTCATAAACTATTTCTGATTTTTTCCTTAGGCTAAATTTTTATGGTACTAGAAATGTAGTCTTGTTTATTGTAATACCATAGTTAGGTATTTCTGCGTATAATATGTGAATACTTTGGGAATTAAGCGGGAAAGATTAGTTATTTCTTTTGAAATATTAATCCTTAAAAGTAAAACACTCTTATTTTCGTGGGGAACTTAGCGGGTTATGGGGCAGGCATGAGGCAGGGAGCTTTCACAGCCCATTCTCATGGCCGTGCAGGCTGGGGCTTCTCTTATTGCTCACAAACTGTGATGAAATCAGCTTTTCACCTTCCTCACAGCTCTCTTGACAAATGAGTCCATCAGAAAGAGTTTGAAAATGATATCTAATTCATGTTTCTCAAATTTTTATGTTAAATATGGTTTTCTGAAACCTAAATTAAGATGTGCTATGTTTTTTTTCTTTTTTCAGATGATGCTATTAGCAGTTTACAAATCTGGTATTATCTTGAAATCCATAGTGCTCCTGGACCACCCTTAAACACTATTGAAGTGAAATGTATTGCTCTGGTAAGAACCCCATTAATTGTTCATAGACTCCTTTTCGCAAACAGTTGGGGCATTTATTGTAAACCTAAATTGCTATTCCTAAAAAATATCTATATTAAATGAGCATTTTGGGATAAATTATTCAAATTACAGCAATTTTATTTTAAATCCAGTAAAATGTACCTTAAATGCTTATAGAAAACATCTTTTAGTTCAGTGGTATCATAGTGGCTGCCCCGATAAGCATTTTACCTGCATGTCTCAAGAATTACTAGAGCAAAATTAGCCTTAGCCTACATGCTTTCCTCACACATCTGATAAAAGCAGGACTGTGCTCTCTGGACTCTTTCAGTATTGATTCTTCCTGGTTTCTATAGCAGGCCTTTCACTCTGAAATATATTTCGAGCAACTGGCATAGATTTGGGGTTTTAAATAATACTGAAAAAGAATAGGATTGTCTTATGTGAATTATTAAAGTATTACTAAATCCATGTCCAGAATTATTTGATAAAGTCAAATATTGAGTCTTCATTTAAATAAAATATGAGGACAATATTAATTGTTGTTAATTGCATTTTAATTTGATTTAATTAACTTTCAATTATTGTTAGTACTCATTTATTTAAATCAAATATTTAAACTTATGATAAATAATGGTTATTTTCATTTTTAAATATGCAGATGAATTTCTTCATAGAATTATTATTTAGAATCTTCAACTTTTGCTCCAACGGAAAATAAATTATTTCTGTCTGTAAATCAATTATTTGCTCACCTAATCTCTGGGTAAATCTCCATTGAGGCATAGAAAATGGATGGTTAAACTATTGAAATGCACTCAAGTGCCACTTGCAAAAGCTTTCTCTTCTACCTAGAAAATTATTTAATGGGATGATGATAGGATCATTTCACTCAGTGAAAATGTCCTATTTCCATGACCCTTTTATCACTGCAGAATAAAATCTTTATTAAAGATTATTTTTAAATGACATAACTTTAATTATGAGACCGCTTACATCTTTAGCTATAGGCAAAAGAGGATGTTAGGGTTAGTGTTTTGGAACTTCTCAGAGGAGGAAGGACATTCACATGAAGATAGAAAAGCAAATGTTTGGTAAATAAGTATTTGCTGGGCCATGCAGAGACAATTGGGCACAGAGAGAAATTTTAACAAACAGACTTTGCTAGGTTCCTCCTGTCTACACACCTAGTTCACGCTAGTCTATGGTGATAGCTCCCTTCCTGGAATACGTCCTCTCTCTACATTCTTTTAGGCAGTTAGGGGGAAGGTCAGAGTTCCTTCCTGAGTCTTTTGGGCTTTGATTGGTTTCAGTTTGAAATAATCCACATGCCAAAGAGACATTTTGAGGCGGCAAATTTTGCTTGAGTACAATAGTTATCTCTTTATCAGGACACAGGAGAAAAAAAAAATTTTAAACGGGTCCAGGAGAAATTGGGACCATGAGGTGGCACCTCAAAAAGGGAGACATTGGCTTCCTTACTAATAAGGAGCAAGACTTAGCACCACTAGATTGCTCTCTTTGCGAATACAGGCAGATGTGCTGTACTAATTAAATGTTCACTTTCAACAGAAGTTGGTGGAGAAGGGGAGTCATTTTCAAGTAACTTTGCCCAAATAGGCTACCAATGACAGTGATGTTGCCAAATTACTAAGTTTTCCCACCTTTCTTATAGTAATTACCTAAGGTAAAAACTTGTTAGCTCTATAACTTTCAGACATGAAGATTTAGTCGTTGGAGATGGTATGGGTTGTTTTAAATAATCCCATCAAATAAACCTTTGTGCACTTCTTGAAGAACATGCTTTCTGAATACTTTCAGAAGTACACTAAAATGGCTATCCACACCTATGTATAGTTTCCTCATATTTTTGACTGCATTTGCTGTGTTTGCTAAACTTTTGACAAATACTATACTTAATCCTTAGATCATCAGATGTGGCAATGAAGGTTTCAAGACATTAAGTCTTCTCTGATTTTCCATCTGTATCTCAGCTTTGGTTACATTCAACTCAATTTCCACACCTTCCCTAGAGATGAATGAATGGTTAGAATCTCTTTAAATAGGGTTTTTGTAAGAAATATTTACATCCTCGAGGCACATAAATTTGCTTACTTCTTACAGCAGGTTCCAAAAATCAGGTTATATTTATAATAAACAACAATTGGCTGATAGTAGTCTGTTCTCTTTTGTGTAAAGTATTTAGGATGTCTTTTTGAATCTTTTTTCTTCCAGTTTTATTAACATATAATTGACATACAGCACTGTATAAGTTTAAGGTGTACTGGATAATGGTTTGACTTACATACATTATGAAAGTTTAGTGAACATCCATCATCTCAGATAGATGCAAAATAAAAGAAAAAGAAGATTTGTATAACTGAAAATAAAGCAAACAAACATACAGAGTATGTGTGAAAGTGGAATCCTGTATGAGCTTTTAATTCTTTGCTTATTAATGACCTTGATCATTGTTCTCTCTGTACGATTGTTGGGCATTTATATTTCTAGTTGTGTGAATTTGCCTTTAAATTTTAGGTTTCACTTTTATAAGTAATCAAACAAATTGCTCTTTTCCTACGTGATTTTTTCCCTGGCTTTTCCTGTTAAACATGGAGACCCTTGCCAATCTGGAGATTTAATAAATATTCATATTCCTTAAAAAAAAAAAAAAAGTAAAAGAAGAAAATTTTTTTCATTGTGATGAGAACTCTTAGGATTTACTTTCTTAACAACTTTTCTATAAAACATACAGTAGTGTTAATTATCTTTCTCAGGTAGTACATTACATCCCTAGTGCTTATTTACCTTATACCTGGAATTTTGTACCTTTTGACCACCTACATCCTTTTGCCCCTCCCACCACCCTCTGACTCTTGTAAACACAAATCTGATCTCTTTTTCTATGAGTTTGTTTGTTTGGTGTACAACATAGGGATTCAATATTTTTATACATTACAAAATGACCACTACTGTCTTGGAAATTTTAATGGGTAATAGCTGCTCTTCCATTTTCTTTGAACACAAAAATCTCTTGTGTATCATAGTTTGGGTGTGGGAGAATGATGAGCGTAATCTACTGTCTTCCCATTGACAGTCAGTAATTTCAATATATAGCAATGAGCTGAAAACAAATCTTAAGTTTGTGAGTAAAACCTTATAGGCTTTAAATTTTAGGTCAGTCATAGCCTTCATAATATTTGTTCTCTTGTCAGTGAAAATTGCATGACCATTTCTTTACGTATTTTTTCATTCTGTAATGAACCTTCAATTAAATTCATTATATTGTTAATGGTGAGGCCCAGAAACCTCTCCACAAGTTAGTAAGAGAGAAGCAGAGTTAAAAACACTATTAATCCACTTGGTATCAAATATAACAACATGTATCAGTTGCCAACCATTTCCAATAAGTTTTTAGTTTAAAATTTTAGCCTCCATGATATGAAAACTGTATTTTGAGGTTTTCATTTTATGTATTTTCTTCTTTCCTTCAGGTTTTTATATTCTTAATTTTTTCTGTGTTAAAAATAATATATCATGAGTATTTGTACATGTTATTGAAATTTTTAATCCTCATGAAATGTTGAAGTAGCAAAAAATAGCATTCTGCTTTGAATTTATCTTGACAAGTTGTGAAAAATTCTTAAATAGGATTTAAAAAAAATCTCATGGCCTATTTATATTAAATCATATATATATATATATATATATATATATATATATATATAGCTGTGCCATAGATAGAGAGAAACATAGATACTGTCTCTCCATATATAGGTAGATAGATATATGCAGGTAGATATGAATATATCCTTATATCTAAATCTTTTTTTTAACATCTTTATTGGAGTATAATTGCTGTACAATGGTGTGTTAGTTACTGCTGTATAACAAAGTGAATCAGCTATACATATACATATATCCCCATATCCCCTCCCTCTTGCATCTCCTTCCCCCCCCCCCATCCCCCCCCTCTAGGTGGTCACAAAGCACCGAGCTGATCTCCCTGTGCTATGCAGCTGCTTCCCACTAGCTATCTAGTTTACGTTTGGTAGTGTATATATGTCCATGCCACTCTCTACTTTGTCACAGCTTACCCTTCCCCCTCCCCAAGTCCTCAAGTCCATTCTCTATGTCTGCATCTTTATTCCTGTTCTGCTCCTAGGTTCTTCAGAACCATTTTTCTTTAGATTCCATATATATATGTTAGCATACGGAATTTGTTTTTCTCTTTCTGACTTACTTCACTCTGTACGACAGACTCTAGGTCCATCCACCTCACTACAAATAACTCAATTTCGTTTCTTTTTATGGCTGAGTAATATTCCATTGTATATATGTGCCACATCTTCTTTATCCATTCATCTGTCGATGGACACTTAGGTTGCTTCCATGTCGTGGCTATTGTACATAGAGCTGCAATGAACATTGTGGTACACGACTCTTTTTCAGTTATGGTTTTCTCAGGGTATATGCCCAGTAGTGGGATTGCTGGGTCGTATGATAGTTCTATTTGTAGTTTTTCAAGGAACCTCCATACTGTTCTCCATAGTGGCTGTATCAACTTACATTCCCACCAACAGTGCAAGAGGGTTCCCTTTTCTCCACACCCTCTCCAGCATTTATTATTTCTAGATTTTTGGTGATGGCCATTCTGACCAGTGTGAGGTTATACCTCATTGTTGTTTTGACTTGCATTTCTCTAATGATCAGTGATGTTGAGAATCCTTTCATGTGTTTGTTGGCAATCTTTATATTTTCTTTGGAGAAATGTCTGTTTAGGTCTTTGCCCATTTTTTGATTGGGTTGTTTGTTTTTTTGATATTGAGCTGCATGGGGTGCTTGTAAATTTTGGAGATTAATCCTTTGTCACTTGCTTCACTTGCAAAAATTTTCTCCCATTCTGAGGGCTGTCTTTTTGTCTTCTTAATGTTTTCCTTTGCTGTGCAAAAGCATTGAAGTTTCACTAGGTCCCATTTGTTTATTTTTGTTTTTATTTC